AAAAGGAAATGGCGAACATTTTCATCAGAATTTAAATCGCAAATTATACATTTTTTATTACTACTTTCATTCCAATTTGAGGTTCTATCATTTAATGGCAATGTATTCGATCTAACTTTGAATTTCAATGCAGCTCCCTCGAAGTCAGTCTTATCAATTAAATAGTTTTCTAATCCAGGGTTTTGTTTTATCATTGCGTAATCTGAGAGTGATGATTTATTTAATACACCCGCTCTCCAATCATTAACCATATTTTCATCAAGTTTTTTTAAAATGATTGAGTTTGAGAGAGAACATATTTCATTGTTTTGCAGTGCATTGAAGATATTATTTGATTCACATTTAATAGCGCATGAACGGCGCCCTCTTGCTAAATTGGAAACTTTTGAACCTTGATCGACGCTTCTATTTGTTACGCGTAAATCGCGGAGAACGCTATCTTGTGTTTATAAGATCTTTGGTGATTATCCAGTAAGTAACAATGGTGGCGCTATGCTTGTTTGGACAAGGACCAAGGAGGACGGACAGATAAAGAGGCACGATAACTAATAACTGACGATAACAACCGCGGTGATAGCGCGTGAGTTGCTCGGTTCTGCTGCTCTCTACGACAGAGTAGGCGTAGCCTAGCTATATTTGAGGGAGGAGTTTGACAATTGGAAGGACATTACTTCCGTATTTAATTGATTTTATTTGTAAGTTGTTGTTTCATAATTTCTCTAAAGTCGTTATAAAATAGTATTGCGCATTTATTAGTCGATTGCAGTTGACTTAGGCCTAAAATAAAAAGTTTAAAAAGAGTACGGGCCAGTGAATAATGAAAATCTAGCTAGGCCTAGGCCTAGAGGTAGACCTAGTTAGTACTAGTCTAGTAGGGGCCCTAATATTACTATTAATAATGCCCTAAAACTAAAGCCTAGGGCCTAGGCATATTACAGGCTTAAGGCCTAATACTACTAGAGGCGTACTACTAGCCTAGGCCTATCTATAGGCTATGCCTCCAAAGTCACTGTTGACTGTAAAACAATGTATGTAGGGCCTAGGCCATAAATTTAGCCTAAGGCTTACTAAACTAAGGTACAGGCCTGGGAGTGGGTAGGCATAGGTTTAATAAGGCTAGCTAGATAGGCCTAGGACCAGTCCCCTATCTATAGGCCTAGTTGAATACAGTAAAAGCAAATCAAAAGAAAAGGTCTATTAAAACAAAACTAAATATTATTAGGCCTAGTCTAGAGTAGTAAGTAAGTAAACAAAAATTATTCCTTTCTTGTTCTAGCTTGTTCATGGATTAAAACATTGTCCAAGGTTGAAATTGATTAATTAAAATCACCGTCTTGCATTGGCATTGAGTATCTCTAACGCATTAACATGAGCAGGAAGATGTTCAACCATGACATATATAATAGGCTACATACACTACGTTATATTTCATTTTGATATTTTTTTCTAAAATAATTAGATAATACCACATATATCATATCATTTCATATATCATTTATTTCACCATTTCAAATTTACAAAAACGAACATAAAAATACAAAAAACGACTTAGCATAAAAGATAATGAAAAATTGTAAGCAAATAAAATGAGAAAAAATACTGGTAAAAAATGCTGGTAAAACCCAATGGAAACTAATTAATTACTTTAATAATAAAACCAAAAACTCTAGGAATGTACAAGCGATAAATGAATTCTGAATTTTCTTAACATAATTTTATTTGAAAATTGACAGAAAATCTATCTATCAAATAATAATACATTTAATTAAATACTTTACAGCACAGGTGGGCAAAGTGCGGGCCGCATGTGGCCCGTTAGCGATTTTTTTGCAGCCCGCGACATTGAATTAAAAACCATATGTTTTGCGCCCACCAATCAAAATTGTCTTGTTTTTTATGGTCTGACACCAATGTAAAAAGTAACATTGAAACCTGAGAATAAAGTGATGTAAAAGCAGTGCTTGGAAGTTTGTGGAAGCTCACTGGAAACATCAAAGATTGGGTGCGGCCCTCGGTGTTCAATCAAAAATTCACTTTGGCCCTCCGACTGATTTTTATGCCAACCCCTGCTTTACAGTATACTAATTAAAATATTCAATTTTTTTCCATTTTTTGTGTAAAATTTTAGTTTCATTACCTTTCATTCAGGAGTATCTTTATTATTTATAATATTAGTCTCTCGATGATATGAAACGCAGACCATGAAGGTACAGGTCATGGTTAAATGCATTTCTGTTGACACGTCAATCTGTTAGAGGTACACAATGTCAACAAATTACTTTCTAAAACATGGCGGGAGAAAATATAATCGATAATTTTAACTGAATTCACTACATACATTTATTGTTATAAAAATTTCGTTTTATTGATTGTTAATTTCTACTCTAGTGTGGTTTAATCATGTTTGCATCCGTGCGGTCCGTGTGTGGTTTAGTAGGACCCTTTAAAAATGTTGTCTTTAGTTTAAAGTTCAAGTATTGTCTCGCAGACTTTAATGATTCCAATTCTACTGAATTTATTTTGTGTTTGTTTACCATGAATGTTAAAATACAGTATTGATAAGTACAGTTAATGACAGTTCTTCAATTTACTATAGATAATAAGATTTATTCAGATTGTCAAAAAAACCTTTTTTTTTTTGTTTTGAGTGTGTGTAATTGTAGTTTATGTTCCCTTCTATTCATGATTCAGGTTGTTTTAATATTTAGGTTCTGTTCAGGTTTTGTATAGTATTTTTCATCATATTTACTGTCTGATTTTGCATGGATCAATATATATATAATACAAAGTTAAATATAATTTGATTCAAAAGCATTGCTCTATTATCTAGGATAGACATCTGCCAGGGTTTACATAAAAGTAAAGTAAGTCTTTAAAATGCCCTTTAGAAAGTGCTTTTTAAAATCATGTGATATTTTTTTTTTTATTTGTTTTTATACTGTACTGCTGTATATTTTTCATTAGTTTTGTTGCAATTCAATTTGTATTAGTTATATGTTTTGTACGATGCACCACCTGTTGAGTGCATCTGATATAAATAGTGTACACATGTCTGATTTTTTTTGTTATGATTTATTGTATATTTCATTAATATTAAGATAAATATATTACCTTGTTAATAACAATAAAACCATTTGAATAGACCAAATTAGTCACCAAACCAAAGCTGTTATATTGGGTATAACATCAAAATAAACTGCTAGGTGGCAGTTTTTCCACACAATTTAAATAATCATCTGCTTGAGTAAATTTTGACAGATTTTAAACAAACTTTTTATTTGTACATTTTATCGTCATATAACTTATCCAAAAGCTTTGGTAATAAATAAACATCAGAATTTTGACCCCTTAGATTTGAAATGGAGTGAAATAAACAGATAAACAAAAAACTTGAACATGTTTGTATAGCCTCGTCGTGTGAACACGGGCCTAGCCCTAGACTAGAGAGTCATATAAACAACGTTCTTCTGACTCATTGGCCATCGTACTCAAAAGAAACATCTTATTCCACAATTTAGCAATTTAAGTTTGTCCAATAGTTTAAATATGCAACAAAATGTCTTGGTGACGGTATTTAAGCTAAATGTGTACCTCAAAATCAACAGCAGTCGCAATAGTTAGCGTTGGATCTGGCAATTGGACTAGGCCCCCTAGAAGTCCTCTCAAATCCTTTCATAGATAGTCAGAAAGGAAATTTAAATCAATCAACCTTAGTCTCATGAATCTATGAATCATTCAAAATGTATGCGTTGTTCTAATAAAGTATCTTCTATGCTCCATTTTAGACGATTTAAAATACACACTTTCGACTCCGCTTAATGCATTAGCATAGCTCTTTTGTCAATGTATACAAATTCATACCAACTCGGCGAAATCACGATGACGTCATCTTTGGTGACTAATTCGGTCTATTGAAATACATTTAGTGCTTGCGTAGTCTTATCCAAATAAATATTCTGTAATTATTTGGTAATAATATATAAAAATCTTACATTAACCTTTTAAACAATATTGTGTTTTTAGATTGTTCATACTGGATCTATGCAGGGGTTTTAGATCTGTAAAGTGAGGGGAGAATTAACTATCTTTTAGAAATGGTTTCAAAAACCACAGAACGCGAATCCAAGATTATAGAATGGGACGATATGGACAAGAGAAAGTTCTATTCATTTGGACTCATTTTTGCTTTATCAATACGAGTTGTTCTATATCCTACCACCTTGATCAAAACAAGACTGCAAGTTCAAAGACAGAAGTCAGCCTATACAGGCACTTGGGACGCTATTAAGAAAATAGGCCGCTATGAAGGCCTGCGCGGCTACTACAAAGGCTTTATGGTCAACTCTCTTACAATATTCTCAGGGCAATGTTACGTTACAACGTATGAATTATTACGCAAAGCATTTTCAGGTACTAATAATTTTACAAAATCATGTATTGCTGGAGGCGGGGCATCGCTAGTAGCTCAGAGTATAACAGTTCCAATTGATGTAGTCTCCCAAAGGATAATGATGATGGGTCAGTCTGTAGATGGCAGTGTTGCTAAACAAAATATATCATGGAAGCAGTCTTCAATGGTAGTAAGAGATATATTAAGGACTAGTGGTGTACGTGGATTTTATCAAGGCTATGTTGCCTCTATTATGACATTTATGCCAAGTAGCGCCCTCTGGTGGCCATTTTATCATTTCTACACAGGTGAGCTTATATTTTTTAGTTTTTAACATATTCTCTGATGCTCCACATATAAGATAGGGTGTTTTACCACACATTGAAATTGAAGGTTCAATTAAGACAACAAATAAAGGAGTAAACATTTTGAAATTATACTTTAAGTTTAATTTTCTTTAAAGTTATCATTAATATCAAACTTGTATTCGTTAAGCTTTCTTTTTGATGATACAAAAATATTTGAATAATAACATTAACTTACCTTTTTATTCTCGAGCTTTTACTGATTTTCAACACAGCTTAATCATAAGTGAGTTCATGCAAAAATAAATCTTAACAAATACAGTTTAGAGATATCTAGATGAACCTTTTTGAATCAAACTTAAACACAATTAATTAAAACATTGAATTGATCAATTGTTTAATTTTGTAACTGAAAATGAGATGTCACAGACTGAAGCCATTTTTTCAATGTTTTTTAGACCAGTATAGCTATTTAATAAAGGATGTACTCGGTGTGCCTGTCCCCCACATTGCTGTACAGGCATTGGCTGGACCTTCAGCAGGCTTCACTGCTACAACTTTCACCAATCCGATGGATATTGTACGTGCTCGATTGCAGGTTTGTTCAATATTTTTTGCTAATATTTTTGAATTATGTGAATAGTATGGTCTCAGGATAATAGTAATACAGTATGCTGTACTCGTGTGAATAAGTGCCCCGTTTGAATATCGTGAAAATTGTCTTAAGCGCCCCGTTTGAATAAGTGCCCCTTCAATTTTGAATAAGCGCTCCTCGATTCCTAAACAAATTCAATCATACAGTACAGTGCAGTACATCACCAACAAATATTTTGCATCAACTCTTTGCATCTAAGCATTGTTGGTCGGTCAGTCCATTTATCCATCTCTCTGTCAGTCTAAGTTTAACATTATTTTCAGTTTTGATACATCAGAATCCCGTCTTCTTGTATTGCTATCCTTTTTGGATTTTGAACTACAGTACTTAATATCTAAAAATTAAAATACTGTATGGCTACAGTATTTTCAGTCAACAAAAATGAACTGCCCTCATCAGTATCGTATTTAAGCAAGAAACCCTGCAGTGATCCTGCTCTCTGAATTGGCAGATGGCCAACAAACAACACCACGATTTCAACTACTGTTGTGTAAATACACCCCAACACTATTGTCATGAGCCGGCCATGCTCTCTTGACGATTACCTTTTCTTCACTAACACCATTCGTTTATTTTCGATAAAAAAAAAAGAGCCTTTTTAATTTTCCAATTTGCCATTATCACCCCTTCAATTTTCATCTATTTCCATAAGCACCCCCTCAATTTCCACTCTGTTTTCATAAGCGCCCCATTTGAATAAGCGAGTTTGATTCAAGAACGTGCAGTTGAGTCTGTGTAAAGAATTTGAAAATTATGAAGAAATTTAGTAATCTAAAATATATTGGATTTTTAAAATTTTTTTTTACAAACAGGTGATTGGTGGTGATTCAATCATTGGCTCATTCAGGGAACTTCTTCATGAAGAAGGCGTAAGGGGTTTCACCAAAGGACTAACTGCAAGATATCTTGCGTCAATGCCAACGAGCCTTGTGATCGTCCTTGGTTATGAGACTTTGAAGAAGATTAGTTTACGAAATGAATTGAAGGAGTTGATTAGTATGTAATGCAGTTGAATCATTGCGTTAAGCCGACAATACCGTCAAGATACTGTACATCGGTTGTGTTACTAAACACCAAAGTGGTAGTAAGCATAGTGGAGCTGCATTGGTATTAAGTATTGGAGCTGAATATGTAGTGAAGATGCATTGTTGGCAGTACTGCTATATAGTGAAGCTGCAAGTCCAGTGGTACAGTGACATTACAAATTTGGAGCTGCTCAGGGCAGTAATATTTACTGGTGGTACTTTGCTAGATCTGCATCAGTGGTAGTACAGGAGCTGCAAAATCAGTGGTAGTTCTAGGTACTGCAATGGTAACTGTGTTTATTTAATATGTGCTGTAGCTGCATCATTCTAACAATAAAATCCTTTTACTGACTTATAAGTCACTGAATCTCAATCAATCCGCATACATTAATCAACTTCTTTCCAAATATGTGCCTGGCCGTTCCCTACGTTCATCTGATCTCAATTTAATTTCTGGCTTTCGCACCAACACAAAGACCTTCGGACACAGATCATTTTCATTTGCTGCAGCCACACTCTGGAACGCACTACCACTTCACATTAAAGAATCAGCATCAATTCCTTTATTTTAAAAAATCACTCAAAACGCACTTATTCCAACATAACACGAAGCGCCACTGATAATTACTTCGGTTTTTTAAATGGCGCTATATAAGTTCTTACCTTATTATTATTTATTAATTTGTATAAGGTGTATCAGTAGTACTGTACTACTGTGTACAAAAACTCCATCTGCAGTATATTATTACTAGATATTTGAGCTGTATCATTCTAGAACTGCATCGTTGGTAGCATCAGTACTATGTACTGAGGTTTACTTAAATGTTATGGCTTACTGTTGGAGGTACCTCATTGGATTAGATTAAAATACTTCTGAAAGTGTCATGATTTTTTTCGCAACCAACCTTATTTTACATCACAAGCCTCATGTAAACCTTATATTGCATTACAGATCCAAATGATCCATCAGTGAATCAAAAGCTATTTGTATAGTGCCAATTTCCACGGCAGATACAATTTTCAGTGGTTGTATGATGTAAGCACCACTCAGAAGTGCACGTAATCAGTTTCATGTAAACTGAATTGCTTGCACATGAATGAAGTTGCAATTAGATTTCCCATTTTACAGATTTTTATGTCCAAAAATCATGTTAACCCAATCATTCCTAAAGCCCTGTCCAGACTATCAAATTTTAGTTGACAAAAACATGTGACATGCCTAAATATGGTCATGATGACATCACATCATGACCATATATAGACACATTATTATTACTATGTCATACAACAGTTTTCTTCCAAAGGAAATTTAATAATCTGGACAGATCTAAGATTATAATCTTGACATTCACCAGTTTGAATCTTTAGCAGTATTAATTAGTGTAGTATTCTGAATTTTTTTGCAATTTGAACTTTAATTTCCTTTTGTTCTTTGCTTTTAAACTAATTTACACATAACTATATGGAACCTATAAGAGCAATAAAAATAGTTTGATATTCTATTGGCGAAACAGTAATGGAACACTAGATTGCCACATCCAGTACTGTATTTCGGTCATAACTAAGTATTTGCATAGTTTGACCTCATTATGATTGTAAATCATTGTTGATTTTACCCACTTTAATATAAATAGTAATGCATTTTTCTAGCAATGATACAATGCTATCTATAGTGTATTAAATGTTATGTTTCTTTAAAGTGTCGGTATTTATGGTGCTAATTTTATTCCTTAAATTTGTAATGTCATAATATTACTACTGTTGCAGTGTCAAACTAATGTTGCAGTTCAGCCCTGTCATAGTACACTACTGTTGCTATGACAATAGTATTGTTCTGTGTCAACATTGCTGCTGTAGTGTCAACATTACTTTTGTTACAGTTTCTGCACTACTGTAAATTACTGTAGTGTCAATTCTACTTTCGCAGTGTCAACACAATTATTGCAGTGTCAAAAATATTATTGCGGTGTCAATACATGTAATGGCTAGTTTGCAATGTAAATAATACTGTGTAAACACTACTGTGGCAGTGTCAACACATGTGAAAAATAGTGTTGCAGTGACATACTATGGTTTCAGTAACACTATTGTTGCAGTGTCAACACTAGTTTTACAGTATCAATACTACTGTTTTTATATCAACAATACTGTTGTAATATTAACTTTCCTGTTGTAGTGTCAGCACTATTTTACAGTGTCCGTTCATGTCAATGCTAGTATTGCAGTGTTATTACTACTTTTGTAGTATCAACACTACTAGTGTCAGCACTACCTTTGCAGTGTCAACACATGTCAACAGTACTGCTGTAGTATCAACACTACTGTTGTCGTGTCTACAATCAATCAATCGTTTCATTTACATGTCGCCATTCCAAAAAATTTCAACACTAGTGTTTCAATGTCAATATTACTGTTGCAGTATTGACACTGATGTTGCTGTGTCAACACTAGTGTTGCAGTGTCAATACTAAACACTTACAGTAAACACTACTGCTGTAGTATCAACACTGCTGTTGCAGTGTTAACACTGCTGTAATGTTGCTGTGTCATCTGATTAAATTTTATCTTATATTAATATTGCATTGTGATTTTTATATGCAAGAAGTGCATTATAGATGTGTATAAGAGACAGCAGTACTAATGTGTCTACAAATAGTGTTGCAGTGACATACTATGGTTACAGTAACACTACTGTTGCAGTGTCAACACTAGTTTTACAGTATCAATACTACTGTTTTTATATCAACAATACTGTTGTAATATTAACTTTCCTGTTGTAGTGTCAGCACTATTTTACAGTGTCCGTTCATGTCAATGCTAGTATTGCAGTGTTATTACTACTTTTTTAGTATCAACACTACTAGTGTCAGCACTACCTTTGCAGTGTCAACACATGTCAACAGTACTGCTGTAGTATCAACACTACTGTTGTCGTGTCTACAATCAATCAATCGTTTCATTTACATGTCGCCATTCCAAAACATTTCAACACTAGTGTTTCAATGTCAATATTACTGTTGCAGTATTGACACTGTTGTTGCTGTGTCAACACTAGTGTTGCAGTGTCAATACTAAACACTTACAGTAAACACTCCTGCTGTAGTATCAACACTGCTGTTGCAGTGTTAACACTGCTGTAATGTTGCTGTGTCATCTGATTAAATTTTATCTTATATTGATATTGCATTGTGATTTTTATATGCAAGAAGTGCATTATATTTTTTATAGCTAATTCTATAGATTTATATGTGTATATATATATATCTATGCTGAATGTATATATTATGTATAAATATAATATAAAAGAAATATAATAGTTCTTAATACATAATATTGCATATTACATTCACTGTTTGTATGTATTTTATTAATTTTGTTTGAATTCTTCTAATGCTTATGTTGGTTTAAATTATTTTTAATCTGGTGGCGCTAGTGGTCGGTGGGTGGGGGGGGGGTTGAGGTTGTCCCCCGTTGGGGAACAAAAACAAGCTTTGTCGGGTGACGTTTTTTACATACTAGTAGTCTCTGAAATCATATAAATAAGCTTTTAAAACCCCTAAATTGTCATAGTTTTAGGAAGCTACCCCTTGAATCACTTCCGAGAGATTTTGAACAATGCACGAACATGCCCAATTCGTCGCCATCCGTCTGGAACATCAGACCTCCTGTTGGGCAAATCCTGCCGCCACCCCTGGACTGTTAGTTTCCCGGAATGTACTGTACATCCCCACATTTACTTTTGATAACAAAGAGTTGGATACTATACCTGCATCCTCTACCTGTTGCATGATGCTTATACGTGATGTACCAAATCAGTTTCTACCTCATTTAACCTGGGTCAGTGGTACTAGGTTTACAGTATTACCATTAAGTGGAACTGCATGCATGTATCCTTGATTTTTGTTCATATATTTTTTTGAAGGGTTTGTTCATGTTGAGTGTTACACATTATAGCTGCGACATAATGATGTATTAGGCCAAGAGTTGCACATTAGAGCTACTACATGTAGTAGGCCAAGTGTTACACACTACAGCTACTAAATGTATCGGGCGAAGTGTTACACACACACACAGCTACTACATGTAGTAGGCCAAGTATTACACTACAGTTGCAGGATGAATAGTATGCCAAGTGTTAAACACTACTGCTGTTACATGTAGAAAGCCAAGTGTCAAACACTACATCTATACATAATGATGTAGTAGGCCAGTGTTACAATCTAAAGTTGCTAATTAAAGATGTAGTAGACACATTAGTAGATCAAGTGTTACACACAAAAGCTGCAATAGCATAGTATAGGTTTTCAACTTGATTATACAGGACAGGTTTTACATGCTACAAAAGCTGCAACAATTTGATAGAAAATGGTAGGAATTTAGGCAAACCAGCTCAATCAATTGAAAGATTATAAATGGCTTTTTTAAGGATTTATTTTTGATGACACAAAAACAATCCTATGCAATTAAGTGATCTATTTGCAGTATGGTATTGTGTGTATGGTCACTAACTGTAATTTATTTTAATAAATATTTTAAAAATAACACTGTTTTATTATATATAGTAAGAATGAGTATCAATTTATTATTTGAATTTGTAGTAATAATGGTTGAAATAATATATGATATTGTCATATTCACTAAATGCAGTGAATGTCATTTTTCATTATAAATCTATGCGTGTTTAACTTATACTGCTGATTTTTATGGATTTAGTTCGATATTTTAAAGAGTAGTGAACGTTTTAATATTGAGGGGAATGCAAGAAAATATTATCAATAATAAATATTATAAATTATATAAAAAATTAGTAACGGATAATTGTTACAAGTTTAACAAATCAAAATATTGAAGTTCTGGTAAATACATTACAGTAAACATATTTTCATGATCTAATATTACACATGTGCACCAAACCCTTGTTTGCTGAACATTATTGGTCTTATGGCCCCAGGGATTGGCAATCAAAATAACGTTGTGGATAGGCAAATTATTTGTTCTTTTGGATCCAGCGACCACCATCGTGGCATCGGATGATGGCGTGGGGGATGGGGAGAGGCTGGCACCACAACTCCGTAGGGGTACGGGTGATAACAGACTCATTGTAGGATCAGGCACCATGGTATCCTCGCTAGCACCACCACTGCTTGGGAGTACATAAATCCCGAGATGGTGATGACAGACGCCATTGTGGCCAGGACCCCTCCCCACACGCATGAAAACTTATAAAATATTGAAAAGTATTTAAAACAATACAAATTAAAATAACATGGATAGGCAATTTTTTTTTCTTTTTGATCCCCAACAACCTTATTGCGCCATCGGAAGGCGGGGGGTTCGGGGAGGTGATAGAGATGTCGAGCTGGTTGGGGTGGTAACACCGTTGTAGCCAAATAATTTTTTTTTCTTTGATCCAATGACCTTGTGGCATCAGGCACCGGAGTTGGGGGAGGGTCACCTCTGCCACCTTGCTTGGAGTGCGGACTATAAGCTATGAAGGTCTCTCAATCTCCTTGGTTTCGTCAGTTTCCATATTTACAGTACATCATTACAAATAGTGTAATATTTTGCCGGAAATGGCCGCATACTGTAGGATCCTCGGCCCTCGCAGAGGTCTGGCTACTAGTAGTACTGTTCCACCTTTAGTATATTAAAAATTGATTTTTTAATTTCGTTTTGTTTTTATTTCCAAAAGCAAAAAAAAAAAAAAAAACAGTGCTCAGAGAAACATAAAATCACAACTTTACAAACACAACCAAGACAACCATGGTTAACTTAATTGCCTGAATTCTAATGAATCTGAAAATACGTTTGGCAGATATATGTAATTATATTTTAACCAATGATTCATTAATGCATTGCCTAAACCATACTAGCAGATCCAACAGGGTACCTGCCTCATAAGGTAATTTGCTACTTCGAATTTCAGCAGAAACACTGCTCAATTACTGTAGGTAATTCCTCTTAATTAAAGTTTTTGTCATTAAGTTGCAGGCAGTTGGAAACTGGTGCTGCATTAAAACAAAAACTAAACTTAGCAGACTGGTTAATAAAATGTCTGAGGTGGGGTGACGACATTTTTGTAATCCAGATTTCAGGTAATCAATAACCCTGGGTTCCAGGCCCTAATTTTAGGTTACTCACTCTTTATTGCACTTAGTGCGCGCCATTCCTAATTTAATTGGCGTCCCATACTCGATTTTTTTTTTCGGATTAGGCTTATTCCGTCTCTAAATTAACTTTCTCGTTGGTGGCGTTGTCCAGAATGAGAAAAATAATTTAAAAAAATAAGAAAATTGTGGCAAGTCTAGTAATCAATCAACAAAGATTTGTATATCGCCAATATCTACGGCAAAGTGCAATGTTCAGTGAGGTGTCGCTAAGATTTATTGTAATCTAGCTTTCTGGAACTCTGCCGTTTACATTTTGCAAGCCAAATGTTTCTGAGACATGAAATATCAGAGTTGCGAAATGTTAGCTGCAGACTTTCGAAAACCTTGGGTTTCATAAAATGCCTGTCACAATCCAACATCTTCCCCGATTACAGTATTACTAATTGCAATTGATATCACGTCACACAAGTTTAAATATTAAAAATTTAATGATACTATTCATTATGCTGACAGAAATTTAATGGATATTCAAATTCAAAACATTCTTTTTTGCAGTTTGAGTGTACGAGTATTACATTTTACAGTAAAAAATCAAATATTAAAACAACTTTTTTAAAAACCATGTTCTTACGTGTACCTAAAATTAATTATATTAATTTAATGTAAACCTAATGAAAAATTAATATTAAAAATTGATATTAAAAATATACAAGCAATTATTATCAATAATTATAGAACGATAGATGGTATTTTCAAAAATTGCAAAAACATTGAAGAATTTAAGTTTAGGCCTATAATTATTATATATATTCAAAATTATATTAAATTATTACAGAAAAATTGATATACAGCACAAATAAATTCTACAGTCAAACGATTTATAGTGTATTATTTACGATGCCCTTGTAATGTGAGTTCTATTGTATTATAGTAATAGGTGGAGTCTCAATAAAAAAGAAGCCAATAAAATTGATGTGTGTTACACCTAAATCATTTGAGAAAAAAATTTAAAATTTATTGGCCAAAGATATACTATTAGCCCAGCATTGTATGCTATTAAAAATCAAAGTCCATTAACAAATAAGATAAATAAATCGAGATAGAGCATGCTCGGACACATTTTCAGAATTCCAGAAAATTCTCTCGCTTTCACTGCAATGGTTTCTGTACTTAGGGGAGCAAACGAATTTGCTCTATGTTCCTAAAAACGATTTATTTGACCGAGGTCTTTTTTTTAAAGAAAATTATAATGATTTAGTTTATCTTGAATTAGCCTCAAATCGAAGCATATGAATTAATTTATCCTAGAAAGTTTTTGTTTAATGTAGTAACAAATATTATACATGTATTATATTATACACATAGGACTTAACAGAGATTGTACTAATTTTTAATAAAGTTTAAATATATATTATCTTTAAATTTGCGAAGATTATAGAACTTGTAAAATACAATTTATTCGTTTTTTTTTTCTAGTTTTAATAAAATAATATAATAGTAAGATATTTAACAACTAAATCAAAAATATTTACAACCAAATTGTTAACAATGAGTCTTACAGAAGAATAAATTATACAGTAATGAATTTTAAAGAAGTCGACAATCAGACGTTGATGTGTACTTTTATCATTTTATACCTCTATAATATTACTTTCGTTAATAATTATGGAAAGACTATACAGTACAACTGGTAATACCGTTTTTTATTCGAATAAACGCCCCGCTTTGTTTATTTCTTCCTCGAATAAACTCTCCCTCCAACCCCTTCCCTAAAAACATAATGTAATAAATCTATGCGAGCGAAGTGAGCATGTAGGCTGGTGCCGGGGTCGGGGGCGCCGAGGGCCCCCGGTGGGGTCTCTGAAAGCTACAGATATTTAACGAAGTTTGGTGAATTGTATTATATGCATCAAGCCACTGTTATATGACTTCATAATTATTGTATTTTCCGAACAAAGTCGAAGTCGGGATTGCTTCCACGATCACAATGAATTATTCATCATGTCAGATGTGTCCTTGAAATACAGTAGTATTTGCTAACGAATCCATCTCATTTCCCCCAACGGATAAATATTACCCTTCTAGGAGCCGGGAAATGGTAATTCAACAGTGGCGGGTCCAGGAAGTCGAAATAGAGGAGGCCCAGGGAGGGATGCACAGATAGAGTGAAAGAAAAAATTATGATTATGGCACCTCTAGATGGTCGGAAATGGCACTCTCAGGTTTAAATTTGAAGCTTTTTTCTTTTTTCTCCATCTTTTTAAATAATTTTGAAAAATTTCAGAGGGTGGGGACCCGTGCCGATTGGACTCGGCTACTGCTTAATATAACATTTGACCTAGCCTATCATTTTGTTTCACAAATGACTAATTCGTATGTCAAGCGAAAAGGTTTTCAATAGTTTTTACAACCTATAATACATTAATTACAATGTACTATAAATTCCCCACTTAATCTTCAGAGAATTTATTTTATTAAATGGCCTAATTAAGTAATTAAGTATTGTTTTTGAAATTTCCAATGCAGACTGTTTGACCTTAAATCACTTTAGTTGGTCCTCACACGCACACCCCACTATAGATTGACGCTAAATATTAGGAGGCACTTCCTTGATATGGCCTATGCTTCGACAAAGCACGGACAAATTTTAAGCATGGGAAGTGACCAAATTGACGGCCAGAAAAAACAGTGCAAAAAATAGGAAAAATATATGCAAGAGAAAAAGAAATAAAAAATCAGAACAAAAACAATGGCCTTTTCAAAAGAAGGTACCGGTATTCCCTTACATAATCAGTGTATTAAAAGATCACATAGTGTAAACAAAATGTTTATATTTACAGCTTGGCAATTATAAGCCTTGTTTAACATTTAAAAACCAGTATCAGCCATCCCCTTGCATATAATTGTATGAACAAAATTAGTTACTAATCGATGTAATATAGACAAATCTTTTGTGAAGTTATTTTAACATTATTCATTTTTTTTTTTTTTAGATTTTTATGATATCCCCTAATGAGTATCCAGAAAAATGATGAATAATATTATTCTTCCGATCACAACTTTCAAATTCAAAAATAAATATAAATAAACCGTCTGTCTTAACATACTTTTAAATACCAAAATTCACCATATTCTTTCTTCCTTATAACAAACAGTCGATATAATTTGTATGCTGTGTTTTTTCCCCGATTTTTTCCGTGGTTACATGAATTTATTCGAATTTTTATATAATTATATGACTATTGGATAGGTAATGCAATAATATGATACAAGCTAAACTAAGACTCATTAATACTCATGTTTTTGTTTATAAAATTGTTAATAAATCCATTGTGATAACTCCATAACTAATAACTCCATGATTAAAAAAGGCTTAACACGTCCAGTAATGATGAAATAGAAGCCATGCCTAAGCATTTGCTATATTAACACAATCGATTAACTGCTTTTAAAATATTGTTCGTATTGAACTAACTGTAATTATGTAAACTTAGACTTATTTTAGATTAACGGATCAATTTGAAAAGTAATTGCATTAGCCTGGTTCACGTCAAACTTTATCTGGATATACCCGTCTTGAAACATGATACGATAATCCCTAATTGCGTTCGATGCCAAGTTAGAGCCAGATAAACAGCTAGCCAGTTTCAGGCCGTCGACGTCACACGATGGAAAGGCTTGTTTAATAAAACATCTACTGTATTTTACGAACCTCTAGTACCAAGTGGTATTCGTTCAAAAAAAATTGTAAACTACTGACTTGTAGAGAAGGTGTGAGTTTCCACTGCCTAACCTAGCCGACTAGTACGAACCAACGACAGTGCAGCAGCGTGTTCTATCGCAATCTAAGTAGTAGATTCTCTAGGCCCTAGCTACATTTACCTTTGATAAAAAACGAATTATTTTAATCGCTAGCTAGCATTCTTCCATTTAACAAAATATTGTTATAATTTTCATTAAAACGTATATATACTTTATAGATCTTTCTGTCCTGTTTTGTAGATTTTAGATCGCTCAATTGTGTTGTTTACATGCACTTCGCGAAAATCTAGCTTCGCGGTGTCAAATAAGTTGCTGACTTCCACACACTTTTTTATTTCGTCATCGTAAACATGTGCGCTCATTTTAACGACTGGCGTTGGTGGTAGTTCGTTGAAATTGAATTCATAGCGACTATTATAGCAGAAATGGAAAAGATTGAATTGTCAATAAATAAATACAACAAATCTAATTTTATTATTAAGAAAACTATACATTACCGTATCACTTTGAAAAACGTACGCAATCGGACTTTTTAACGTTATTACTTGGTCGATGATGCGAAGGTCATTGGTAATATCGAATATTCGTAAAACGGACGTTTGCTGGGTTTTTACCCATAGTATTACAAATAATTTCTGAAAATCAGACTAATGAGACTATTCCGATGCTGTTGTTAGCATTGTTAAAGTACGTTGTTGCCAGCCAGAAGATGATAATGGTGGTACAATACAACAACGCTGGCTTAGAAGCCTATGTTACGTAATCGTGACCTTGTAATCCGAGCCGACTTTACCGTTAAGCAAGTTAATTTACCGTTATTCTAGTAAAGTTAAGTCACTTAACTTAAGTGACTTAATTCCTTTATCTAGCTATAATTGAGTGGTTCACGTCGAACTTTTAACTAGTTAAGTGGATATATATCTAGATAAAAGTTCGACGTGAACGAGGCTATTATTATGTGCACGCTCTATAAACTGATACCCACACTAAATAATTTGATTTTATCCTTCAATTTGGACGCTTATGTCTTTATTAGATGAAGTCTATTTTATGAAGTATAGATCTAAAAAAAAATAAAGAAAGAATTTTTCTTGATTGGAAAATGTTGACAATTCTATGTCTTTGTGCAATGATGTTCAGTCGAGAATTGCATAATGACTCTTCTCGCCAAACTGGTTACAGTCACTTAGTTGTTTTACACCACGTCCACCACCTATAAATTGGAGAGATTTTATTAAAATCAAATTCCTCAGTACTTCAGTTTATCATAGTATTGTTACACTACTTTAATTTTAATAGCAATAATTTTTTCATCATATATTTTTTTATTACCATTGGGCTTTTAACAAGTAAATAATAAAATATTTTTTAAATAAAACAATATAGAATTGAAGATTAAATAAGAAGAAACATGTATTTTTACCTTGTCTTTCAGTTGAATACAATGTCGTATTCTTCATGCAGAAGTCCTTGGTGTATGAGCACGCGTAGTCGTATTCATCGTGGGCGCTTGTGTTATCTTCCTCGAAGTAAGGATATGAGTAGTCACTTCCGTTGAGGGTGCTTGTTTGGGCGCGAATATTTTGTTGTCTATTCGAATGATCAATAAATGAATCCCTCGGATCGAAGATAATATCAGAACGCTTACTAGTATCTGAACAAGTAAAATGAAAATTAAATATTGCTTTACAAAACTTTACAATAATCTACAAAATTGTGTAATTAATTTTAATAAAAACAGATCATAAAGTAATGGTGGTGTATGAAAATGTGATCATTATTAGCAAAACTTACAGGGGCCTAGTAGGCCTACAGTATCATAATACATAGGCCTACTCCAAAGTATCGAAATGCTCGCTATCGTGTTGGGATTCAATATTTCGATATTAATTATGTCATTATCATTATTTCGATATTAATTATGTCATCACCATTCCTGATGATTACATAATTAATGCCGAAGTATTGAATCCCGACACGATGGCGTGCATTTCGATACTTGGAGTACCGTATGTATTATCTATCTTTTCTGAGATTAATCAGTGGACCTTTCGGTTTTTAGTACAGCATGTAGGCCTAATGTTTTTGATACATGGTATTAAAACGAACACAGATTCTAAGCAAAAGCAGATACTTATTTTGGCGTCTTCAATCCTGAAGTAAAGACGAATATCAAAAGTAGGCCTATCGATTACAGAAACCGAAAGTAGGCCTAAAATTTAAAAAAAAAAGTTTAAAAGGTGAAATGATTAGTATGATCTCGAAACTTATATAAAGTTAACCGTGCTCATGTCTCCATCTAGACCTCTTCTTACCGACGTTAACATATTGTCCTTCAAGTACAGCCGTATTTCTAGACACTCTGTCGGCTTGCATTCTGTGTTTAAAAAAAATATTATTCTATTTTTAACGATGTTACTAAAACAGTGGGAATTACGTGAACTCTACTAGAACTATTTTTCTACCAATCAAAATGTCGTGGGTAGAATAAATTATGCCCAACATTTTAGAAACTGATTGTTGATAACATTTGAGTCATACATAATGTTCCAAAAATACACCAGAATCGTTGGAACGTGCAAAGTAGACATAAACGATTTGGTTCATTACAGCCATGTAATATATATATATATATATGCTCTGCTATATACTGCATTGAGCACTCTTGTCTACATGATCTGGTTTAAGCCAACCACGCAGATTATATTATATATATATATATATATATGACGAAACAACGAAATATATACATATATATATATATGTGTGTGTGTGTGTGTGTGTGTGTGACTCCAGTGGCGTAGAAAAGTATTTTTCATTTGGGGGGATGATTAATTATTCTTGGAATTGACATAAAATTACTGATGTCGTACACACCCTTCAGTGTGAAAATGTGGCTTGCTTTGCAAGTACATCTAACCTCTAATGAAAGAAGAGCTTAGATTGGTACCAGATAAAATAATTTTGTTATCAACATTAATACATTTAATATGCTAATTTTCATCTTTGTAAGCGCATAAGACATTGCAAATTATTTCTGTGACAGTCTTTTGAAGTGTGTAAAGCTCCATTTTATCCCATACATAGCCAAAATATTGGGGGGGGGGATGATACAATGGACCATCCCCCTTGTCAAATATTGGGGGGATATATCCCCCATCCCCCCCCCCCGGGATCTACGCCTATGTGTGACTCAAATGTTATCAACAATCAGTTTCTAAAATGTTGGCCATGATTTATTCTATGTATGATTGATTATATCAGTATGCTATATATTATATTTATATATCTGTCTGTGTGCGTAGGTGTGTTGGGTGGGGAGTATACTGTCAACACTTTCTATAAAGTGTTGGTATTTATTTAAGTCCTGATTACAATTGCAAAAGTAATGCTATCCGTCTTGGTATTGATATACCATGTTATTGCATTATTACCTTGCTTTCTGTCTTTGTTTCTTGACTCTGAAATATATAACCAGGCCTACCAAGAAAAGTAACATCACAGCGGCTACTATCGATATCGGAACGGAACCTTTCCATTGGGCTTTAAAGTCAGGTGATAGGAACGATAGATATTATAATGAAAATAATAATAAACTTATATATAGTATTAGCCTTCATTATAATTATTATTTATATAAATGATATGTCTATTTATATTTATTTATTTATTTATATACCATATTTTGAGTATGCCACCCTTACAGAGCATGTCTGATGTTCAGGGGCCCCTAAATACGAAAAATTATAATTTATATAAAAATAGAGCCTTTTTAACAATTTAAAATTATATTTCAGTACTGTAAAAACTTACACAAAAATATATAATTTATATAAAAAAATACAGCCTATGTAACAATTTATAATTAAGCCCTATATGTAAAAATAAAGCATACACCTATATACCTAGAAAAAACTATGGAAATGGAGAATACAAGTTGTTTAAAATGTTTTACATCAGGTGTATTTTAAATTAGTTGTGTGCTGGTATGGTGGTGATGGTGAGTGGGAGTGTGTTTCAGAATGATGTGTGATAATTAGGATGAGGAATACTGAGATCACCAGCGCTAATAGATCTGGTGTTAAAGGCATGAACCAGGAGTTACTCAGAGAACTAACAAGGATCGGTAAAAACCGTCCTCGTGCAGAACTTTAGAAAGATAAGACAGTCATTTTATTGACACTAAAATGAATCATCAAGACCAAGATGCCAATTAATGCATTATTATTTTAAAAGAAACTCTAAGATAATAAAATCCTTGTAAAAGTATGAGTCTATAAATATTGTAAGGCCAAGTTCATAACTTTTAGTAAATTTACCCGATTGTTTGAAACATTCACTTTCATGGTCACATTCAGCATTGCCCTCAGGAGTGTAAGTAGTAACTAGAGAATGCGTGCCGTCTTGTCTGGATATGTTACATGCTCCTTCAAAGCCATCCTTGCAGATACATTCACCCGACATCTTGCAAAACCTGGTTTTGTTTCGAATACAATTACACTCCTGTTTGCAATCATCTCCATAGTTCCAATCAGGACATGGATTCTTGCATTTACTTCCTCTCCAGCCAGGTTTACAGTTACAGTTCCCATTGGTCTTTTCATAAGAAACAATGTTTTCTTGTTCACATGTGTTTATTGCTTCGCATCCATTACCATAAAAAGGTTCGGGGCAGGTAATATTACAGCGACATCCATACCATCCTGGATGGCATTGGCACGCAGAAGATACTGTGTCGCAAAACTTGGCATTATTGGGACGTACTCGTGTCGATCTAACATCACACTTGTGTTCACATTGTGACCCGTAATATCCTAGTTTACAGACACACACACCAGACACACATTCTCCTATAACATTTTGTAGTTGAGCAGATGACGGTGTAGAATTCATGTATATGATCATGATACTCAAAATGCCAAGTGTCACCTATAAAACATTGCAGTGAAACTATGGAATTGATTGCAATTAATGTAGTACGCCTAGATGGTATTGTAGAGTTTATAATATTTTTATCTTTTATAATATTTTTATCCTTAGGGCTAAATACTGGTGAATAATTAAAAAAAATAATATAGAATGAAAAATGATGGGTGGATGAGGGAGAGCATTGAGTGTCAAAACTGGAAAACAACAATGCTGTAAGAAAACAAAATTGAAGACAAGGTATAAAATTTGAAATAAAATAAAATGAAGGATTAAGCATCGTATCCACCCCCACCCCACCAAAAAGCTCTCTCTGTGAACCCTACCAGGGATTTAATACAGGGGCCCAAGCCGAGGCTCTAGTCGGCTTCTTGATTCAGACCCAAGTCCAATATGTTTGACCCCTGTCGGCACTTGCTGTCTCTGGTATGTGTGTTTAAATGTGGGTTATTATTAATTATTTATTTCCTTTAGGTCTACATATTATTCCTGCATATTATTCCTACATATATTATATGATTCCTGGTCAATTCGAGCTCAATTGGGCTATTTTGAAAATTTGACCCCGATGACCCCTATGTAACCACTGATGCCAGACAGGGGTGTAGGAGGTGTCACTGGTTCTTAATGATCAAATTTGATTGAATTCGGTTCAATCGTTTGCCATTAGTAACATTTTGAACCTTTGACCTATGAACTTTGACATATGTGAGTATGAGTATTTTTTTCATGTTTAGAAGGTTTAGAAGGATCATTCCTGGTAAATTTGAGCTCAATTGGTCTATTTTGAAAATTTAACCCCGATGACCCCTATGTGACCCCTGATCCCAGACTGGGGTGTAGGAGGTGTCGCCGGTTCCTAATGACAAAATTTGATTGAATTTGGTCCAATGGTTTGCCATTAGTAGCATTTTGAAATGTTACTAGAGAGAACAAAAGAATAACCATTTAATGACCTTTGACCGTAAATCGCTGAACACCATAAGACCCTACATTATGCCAATACATATAGAAAGAAAGAAAGAAAGAAAGAAGAAACTGCTAAGAAACAGAACCCAGTCAGCTGCTGCTGACTGGGTAAAGAAAGAAAGAAGGAAGAATCTGCTAAGAAACAGAACCCAGTCAGCTGCTGCTGACTGGGTAATAATAATAATAATAATAACAATAATAATAATAATAATAATAATAATAATAATAATAATAATAATAATAATAATAATAATAATAATAATAATAATAATAATAATAATAATAATAAAATAATGTAAGTTTTTATATAGCTCTCTATACAACTAAGCCTCAGAGTGCTTTTCCGCATTATTACCCCAGTCTTTGGAACGATGTCTATGGGGGAAATTCCAGAGTTTGCTGCATGAAATATTTCAGCGCATTTTGCACTCGAACCTTCTTAGTAACCCACTTATACTCCTGAGTGGAGAGAAGCAGTGAAGATAAAGTGCCTTGCTCAGGGACACAAGCGCCGAAATGCACAACGGGGGATTGAAACCACGACCTCCTCCTCGAAGTTGGAAAACCCGATAGTTGCGCCAAACGACTATACGCCGCTATTTATTATACGAATACATGGTAGTGTGCTATCGTAAATTGAACCCATGGTTTTTAAGTCGGCAAACTGGGTTTCTGCAAAGTAGACTCGGCAATCTGGCATTCGGCAAACTGGGTTACGACAATCTGGCTTAAAACTATTTAAGTTTTTTAGATAATTCTAACTCGTTTATTATAGGCTACAGTCTTACCTCTTATTACAGGCAAGTCGCCTTTTTAGAAGCAAAATATTTTGTTGCTTTTGGGGCCCCAAGACACTTGTCTAAATAAATCAATGAAAATGAATAAAATGAAATGAAAATGAAATGACAAGAACGATGTTGCCCCGGAAGCAGGTCAACTCGGCCCCAAGTCAACCCGGCCCCAGTCAACTCTGCCCCAAGTCAACTCGGCTCGTGTCAACTCGGCCCCAAGTCAACTCGACCCCAAGTCAACTCGGCTCCATGTCAACTCGGCCCCATGTCAACTCGGTCCCAAGTCAACTCGGCCCAAGTAGTCAACTCGGGCCCAAGTTAACTCGGCCCCAATTTATTGTATATTTACGAAATAATTACCAAAAGAATATGAATGGAATGCCAAACTATGCCAAAATTAAAGTGTTTTAAATCTTGCCTATTGTTATTCTTTTTTCATTAACAATAATACAACATTAATACCAATAATATTAAAATAATAATAATAATAATAAAAAAGGCATAACAGAAACTATTGATAATAACAATATGAACATAATGATTTATAGGCATATCAAATATACATTATTGTATATATGCTAGTCATATTTAAATAAATTGAAATTCTTTTCCAATAAAGTTTTTTTAAAGTCCATATTTATTAGGATATGAGTTTGCGTCAGGAAATTATCATAGGAGTGATGTTTTGCCCTACCTGACGTGTAATCGTACTGAATACTCAGTACGTCCCCAAATACTAGCGAAAAAAAAATGATAATTTCCTGTCGCAAACTAACACTTGCAGTACCCGCTGCTACTAGGGGATCGAATTCATCACTAGTCACCAAGCGCAAGCTCGGTGGTCTAGTGGTTAAGACATCAGGCTAGATACCTGGAGGTCGTGGGTTCGATTCCCACCCGAATTACTTGCGATTTTTTCGCTAGTATTTGGGGACGTACTGAGTATTCAGTACGATTACACGTCAGGTAGGGCAAAACATCACTCCTATGAAAATCCATATTGTTATATAGTATTCGTTTCTTATTATATACTTATATATAACATGGTTTAGATTTTACATATTATATAATGATTTATATATATATGATATTATATATATATATTATATATACACATAGACTTATATATATATTTAAATGTATATTATATAATGTACATATAAATGTATATATGTATATTTAAAATGTATATTAACTTTAATATATAATGTATATATATTTAAATATACCTAAGAATAGGTCTAAAAATATTGGTTTTCTCTACTAAAGTGTTTCTAAAGTCGATACATATGGTATTCATTTCTTATTATTTCTTATACATGAAGACGGTTTCGATTTGATCTATTATATCATGATGTATATGTATATATATATACATATATATATATATGTATATATATATACATCATGATATAATAGATAATATATATATATATATATATATATATATATATATATATTAATTACTTTTAAGTTCTTCAATATTCAAAGTTTTCCCCTCTTGAAAACGGTCAGGTAAATTTTTCTCATTCTTATTACAGTAAATAGGCCTATTATGGATGTGTGTACCGGTATACATATTATGTTGCATGCTTATTCTTATTTCAATGAATCGAATAACCCCAAGAATAAAAGGGGTCGGGGGTCCTCCCCGAGAAAATTTTGATTCCTAGATGACGGGAAATGAACTTTCCCGACTTCTAATTTTCTTATTCGTAATTCGTAACAAAAAAAAAAAAAAAAAAAAAAAAATAATCAGCTCACGAGTCCTCAAAAGGTAGGTCTAGAACACAGGTGCGCATGCGGCCCGTCAGCGATATTTTTGCGGCCCGCGACAGTGAATAAAAAACCCTATGTTTGCGGCCCGCCAATCATAATTGGCTAGAAAACACCTTGTTTTTTACGGTCCGACACCAATCATATGTAAAAAGTAACATTAAAACTGAGATTAAAAAGATGTAAAATCAGTGCTTGGAGGTTTTTGGAAGCTCACTGAAAACATCAAAGTTTAGGTGCGGCCCTCGGTGTTAAATCAAAAATTCACTTTGGCCCTCCGACCGATTTTTATGCCCACCCCTGGTCTAGAATTTTTTTTTTCTTTTCTTTGGCCAAAGGGAGGTGTCAAGACCCCTGCCCCCTCCCCCACTCGATCCGCCTGTGTGAATTGTTGAGAAAATGTAACGGTAGGGGACTAGATAAACACTCTCTTTCTCTTCCTCTCTTCCTTCTTCCCAATTTCTTTTCTTAGAGCACTCGCATAGCAAAAATGAGGCGAAAATTGGTTCAGACGTACACGGCGCCCTTCTCTTTTTATAATGCAAGTTTGCTATACTTGGTCCAGACGTACAGGGCGCCCTTCTGTTGCTAGCTAAGTATAAACAGACGCGCGCGGCGCCCTTCTTTTTTCACTAATGGAGGAAAACTTTATCACTAATCAGAGTCCGGTCATTTTGTGTCTGTCATTTTATTGTTTTTAATCATTTATAGATAGATCCAGCCGTACGAGGCGCCCCATTGTTTGTATTCCCACCATACATTTCGGTGGAACAGTTTTTTTTTCTGTGGAGAACTCTATCTTTGTGTTTCTGTGATCTTTGATATAAGCAAATCATATGGGTATAAAACAGGTTGTTTTTTTTTTTTTTTTTTTTTTGTCCAAGAAAATTTAATAATCTGGACAGAGCATGACTCAAATATCCTATAGGCCTATAGCTTCTCTTTGAGATAATTTAGGAGATTTTGTTTTCATTCACAAAAATCAACAAAAACAAGGAAGATTGTAGATGAGAAAATGTGCTCGATTATAAACTGTTACAGAGCTCGGTGTGATATTATAATAAATCGTAGATAGAGCCGTTTTAGTCTGGTAGAGGTATGAAATAAAAACACTGGTAGCACTTATAGACTTTAATAATTATTTAATGCACAATCTTTCGCCTGATTGAAGTTAGTCTATAAAGTCTTACTACCAGTGTTTTTATTTTATTACAATACAGTAATACCAAAGGCCCACTTTTATGTTAAGAATTTATTGTATTTTAACACGGCCCTAGGAAGAACAGCCATTGGCTAAGTCTGGCCACACATGTATAAATAAAGTTTATTATAATTTCTTTTAAGGTCATGTTTCTCTACTGCGGGTTTCCTGTTCTATAGCTTTTACTTTAATTCATTCATTTCCATTTAGCTCTCATAATTGGAGTAACCTTTGCATTATCG